TTATAATTATAAACCGCTTGGAATATTTTCCAATATTAGGAACATTTACCGGAAGGTAAAATGTTAATTTACAAATCTCAATGAGGAGTCTGATGAGGAAGAAGGTCCTGGTTGTGGAGATTGACTAGCTGTCTTTAAAAGTTTTTGAAGATTCCCAAAAGCCCACTTCTTTGATCTGACTGAGACTCATATGCCGCAGAAAGGCCACAGACCCTGCATATTTCCTGGTGTCATGTGCCCAAAATTTCTTGCCAGGGTCTGCTTGACTCACTGAGATAAATATTTTGTCATTTGACTAGGAGACAATTTCTTACCATCCCGGGATGAGAAAACGTAGAGGCCTCGATTAGGGAATCTGGTTAACCATTCCTGAAGATTTTTAACTGGGCACAATATATGAGGAACCCTTTTCTCATCCATTAGGCGTCTCATCCTAATAGGTTGAGCTTGAAAATCTTCCGTTCATAACATAGCTTTATTTCTCTACATAAAAATATGAAAGCAACACTTATTACTGTTCATATATGTTTTAATTATTGCTTATGAATGTAAAACAAAAATTCTACTCACCAGTCGTGGTAAGGTCAAAATCATAAGGACACAGCCAATGTTGTGTGAGTTTTTACTCAGATGATGACAAAGTTCCTAAATGATCAGGTTCTCCATCTAAAGCTGAAGCTCTTGGTGAACCTGCAGTTGTTGCTGATGCTGAATTTGATGGTGTAGCTGTAGCTGAAGTTGATGGTGTAGCAAGCTGTAGCTGAAGTTGATGGTGTAGCAAGCTGTAGCTGAAGTTGATGGTGTAGTTGTAGCTGAAGTTGATGGTTTAGCTGTACCTGAAGTTGGTGGTTTAGGCCTTCAAATAATAAAACTGTCTAAAGAACCTAGCACAGCTGCTTTCTTTTTCTCATCATAAATCTTTATGTAGCAGTCATATACGTTATTCATGTCCCTTTTAATTTTAATGCTTTGTCGTGTTGATGGATTCAATTCAGAAAACATGCTCATTACTTGCTCCATGTAAGGCAAATACTTCTGCCAAACGCTGTCGTAAATTTGTGAGAAAGTGAGGTAGGGGTATCTGCTGGTGTGTTTGTGTTCTGATTGTGCTCTTGTTCAAGTTACATCAGTTCTTCATTTGTTAAGTCTTCTCCATGACTCCTAAATAGCTCCTGAACATTCTCTTCATCAACTTCTTCAAATCCTACAATGTGCTTAACAAGCTCAACAGTATTTCTTTGAATGTTTGGTATGGTTTCCTCAAAACCTTTGAAGGTGTTTGCACATTCCGGCCCTAATTTCCTCCACACACCCATTCATGGAAGGAACTAATTCCTTCCATGACTTTTCAATGTTTTTTAACTGTTTTTAGAAGATAATATCCACATCAAAATTCTTTTATGGATGGCTTTCCAGCACCATCTGTTTCTTCAATCAGTTGAGACAAGGTACGGCATAATAATAGGCCTTAAATGAAGATATAATGCCTTGGTCCATAGGTTGAAGTATGGACGTGGTATTCAGTGGAAGAAAAACAACTTGTACATGTTCAGACAATTCATTTAGATGAACAGGGTGGCCTGAAGTATTATTTATATAAGCAGTGCCTTGTGTCGTATTTTCCTTGGCATAGTATTCTTTTAACGCTGGGCAAAAATATATTTTAAACCAATCAACAAAAAGAGTCGGTGTCATTCATGCTTTACTGTTTACACATACCTTTGAATGCTCTAGGGTTTTCAGAGTGATATACAGCGAGAGGTTTGAGTTTAAAGTCACCTTCTGCCTTACCACCCAAGAGAAGTGTGATATGATTTTTGGCTGATTTGAATTCCAGTGCAGCTTTTTCTTCCATGGAAATAAATGCCTGGGAAGGCATTCTCTTCCAATCTACTGTAGTCCCGTTTCATCAATGTTAAGAGCTTGACTGGGCAAGTAGCTGTCTTCCTCAATTATTTTATGCAGTTCTTCTGAATAGGCAGCAGCAGCTGCAGATGAATATAAAACTTGCTGCCTCACCAGTGACTTTTAAATTATGTAATCCGTAGCGTTGTTTAAACCTAGCATACCAGCCTCAACTCGCACTGAACTTTTCGGTTTTAGCACTTCCACTTTTACTTGCATTTTTAAGGTCACTAAACAATGCTACGGCTTTTGTTTGAATAATTACAGTGCTCAATGGAGTATGCTTCTGATTTTTGTCTTCAATCAATATACTTAAAAGTCTCTCCATTTCTTCCATAACTCCACTCCTACTTTGGCAAACTTTATTTGCACTTAATGGAGTTGTAGACAGAGCACCTTCTTTAATTTTTTTATTCTTATGGATAGTTTTCACAGTTGATTCCGCCATCCTCAAAACGCGTGAAATATCCACAGACTAGAGTGTTCACTTAGCGAGGTGTATATGTATAAAGCCTACGTATGTTGTATCAGTTATGTACGTCCATATGTATGTACAGTAAGAGCTTGTATTTCGTGAGTAATATAGACTGGAAAAATTTTGCCAAATTCAAATTCGCCAAATACATAAACTAATGGGAAAAATAACAATATAGACTGGCCACTCTACATCAACCTCTGATTTTCCCATTTATAACCTCCAAATGATACAAATTCTGCCTTTATTGACTTGATTATGCTTTCCGGAAACTAGTAATTAGGCCTTCCTCAAATAATTTAATCACATGCTGCTTATCCTGCATCGAGTACTTGGCAAATTTAACTCCCTTACGATAGTCCCGCTTCTCCTTTTCCTTATTTAGCAGCTTAGGTGGGTCTGTCCCACCCCCACCAGCACCAGTAGGACCCCCAGTAGAGGTAGAGGAAGTAACAGAAGGGAACATGAATGGGTGTGTGGAGGAAATTAGGGCCGGAATGTGCAAACACCTTCAAAGGTTTTGAGGAAACCATACCAAACATTCAAAGAAATATTGTTGAGCTTGTTAAGCACATTGTAGGATTTGAAGAAGTTGATGAAGAGAATGTTCAGGAGCTATTTAGGAGTCATGGAGAAGACTTAACAAATGAAGAACTGATGTAACTTGAACAAGAGCACAATCAGAACACAAACACACCAGCAGATAACCCTACCTCACTTTCTCACAAATTTACGACAGCATTTGGCAGAAGTATTTGCCTTACATGGAGCAAGTAATGAGCATGTTTTCTGAAATGAATCCATCAACACGACAAAGCATTAAAATTAAAAGGGATATGAGAAATGTATATGACTGCTACATAAAGATTTATGATGAGAAAAAGAAAGCAGCTGTGCAAGGTTCTTTAGACAGTTTTATTATTTGAATGCCTAAACCATCAACTTCAGGTACAGCTAAACCATCAACTTCAGGTACAGCTAAACCATCAACTTCAGGTACAGCTAAACCACCAACTTCAGCTGCAGCTACACCATCAACTTCAGCTACAGCTACTCCATCAAATTCAGCATCAGCAACAACTACAGGTTCACCAAGAGCTTCAGCTTTAGATGGAGAACCTGATCATTTAGGAACTTTGTCATCATCTGAGCAAAAACTCACACAACATTGGCTGTGTACTTATGAATTTGGGGGAGGGCCGGCCCAGCTGACTCCCAGAGGCAAGTGACTTGAATTTTTCCCAAACCCAAATTCGTATGAGCGGGGAAAGATTTCATATCTCGAAATAATGGCCTCAATTTAGGAAAATCATAGAAGCAAATTTTCGTATCTCAAACGTTCGTATCTTGAGGATTCCTGTATGTGATTTCCTTTAAGTGCATCCTCATGGCTTCCATTTGGTTCAATGTCCACACAGCAATTGACATCAGGAACAAAGTTCTTGATCAGAGATGCAACATTAGATGTAGAGGTTTAGAATATAAAAAAGTCTGGTTGAACATCTTAAACAATTGAGAGAAAGTTGGCATGCAATTTTGTCCAAAAGTAAGATTGCTGTTGACAACCTTGGTACTGTATGATAACCTCTTTAATACTGTCAGAGAAAAGGCTTAGAGTGAGGAAGAAATTTGCTGATGAGACTTCCAGCATTGAGTTGACAGATTTGAATACAGATTTTTTTTTTCAAGAATCAAGTTTTCTATGTTCTTCTGGACTGTATCATCAGAAATATGACCAGGCAATGTGAAGCAAGAAGAGAGCTGGAGGCAACATTTGGTGTTTTATGGAAATATACTCACCTGAAGGATGATGTATAAGAACAAGCGAGGATTCTTTGTGATGAGTTAAGTGTTGACCTGTCTGAGGATCTAATGTAAGAACTAGAACACTTAAAAGTGATTCATTCATCTAATCTTGAACACCAACTTCTATCACCATTTCACCTGTTGAACACAATCCACCATTTGAAACTGGATAACTTGTTCTCAAATTAATGCATTATCCTAAGGGTTTTTCACACGCTCCCAGTCACCCTTACAGAGGCAGAGAGCTCATTCAGCACATTAACAAGAGAAAAATAATGTACAGTACTGAGATCAACTGTGTCAAGATCAACTAATAATTTTGGGAACACTGGCAATAGACTTGTCTAGTGATAAAATTTGATTTTGATGCAATTATTGAACTGTTTGCCAACTATAAATCTCCAAAAGTATCCATGGACTAAACTTTTATATCATAGTGAATTTTGCTTTAATTTGTGTGCCTATGACAAGGGGGAAAAAATCTGGTCATAATATAATTCCAATTTGGTTGTTTCCAAACTTTGATACAACTGTATTATTCTGTGGACATGTTAAAAATTCAGAACCATTTTGTTTATGTTATTTTTCCTGTGTCTGTACTTTTTTTAATTGCTGTAAGTTAAGAATGAAGCAGTGAGAATCATTAAAATAATAATAATTCTGCATCTTTTTGGTTTACAACTGTGTACTGATTGTAGTAAATACACAAAGCATCTTTACACTCTATTTTCATTTATTCTTAAAATGTGTTATGTTTGGTTTTGTTTCATTGCAGAGACTTGGTACACAAGGGTGATTAAAATGATACATTGAATAAATATTATTATTAGAGATTTAATGACTCAAACTTTCTTTACTCTCAATTCATAAAGACCTACTGCGATCTAAAATGGTTACTGCTTTTTCATGGATTGATGGAAATATTTGTTACCTAAATTTCTTTTATAAAAACAAACAGCAAAAGTTAATAAATAGAATGACAGGAGGACTGATATTATTATTAATCCCAGAGCCTGGACTGGCTCTCCATGTCCCTAGGTATCTTTACTTTGTGCAATTGCTGTTAGCCAAATTATACCTCTTTAGAATAAACCTTTTATAAATATCACAAAATGTACAATACCTGTACTGTATCTTTTTCAAAATACATGTGCTGTACACTAAACATCTATACAGTATTTTTATTTTGATATTTAAAGAATTTTTTATAAAGTTTTCAAAAAGTCATTGAAATCCTGGACTGATGTTTTAGCAATATTAATACAAAAATCTGCATCATTACCAGCAACTAAAGCCTGTGGTGACACATAATTTGCCTTCAATGGATCATACTGATTACGCCCTATAATCTTCAGGTAACCATGACGTTGCTTGAGCCTGAATTCTCTCGACATCAGAATTTGTGGAAACTGAATGAGCTGTGCATGTGACAAACCCATTTCATTATGGGCAAAGATGAATCTTCTTTGCAGAGATGCACCATCTAGAAATATAAAGTTGATGATAAAATTAATCCCCCACAGTGAGAACCATTAAAATTAACATAAGAGGGGAAAATAAGTTACTCGTACTTTACTGTAGATTAAAAAAATGATTAGAAGTATTGGGGGGTGGTGAGTCAGTGGATGCAATGCTTGATTCCTATCCTAAGTGTGGTCTTATTACAGTTTGGTAGATTAAAAAAATGATTAGAAGTAGTATTGGGGGGTGGTGAGTCAGTGGATGCAATGCTTGATTCCTATCCTAAGTGTGGTCTTATTACAGTTTGGGAAATGATGCCAGTTAAGTATACTGTACGCTGTGCTTTATCCACACTGCCCCTAATGGGCTTTCAGGCCTATAGAACCCACCTCCACTAATAAAGAGTATGCTACCCTCAGTATTCAGCTCTTTCAAAACTATCATCCATGACCATAAGAGGTCCCGGAAGAACAATACTCCATGGAACACTTTGTCGTAGATTGGAGGTGAGGACATTCTGCCTCGCATCTTAACCCTACCTGGTGCGGGTGTCTGGCATCGGTATCTATTGCAGTACATAAAGGGGTGAGTGATAATTGAGTATTAAGTTCTGGCAACCATTATGGCCAGAATGTCTATAGTTTGTACAGTAATGCTGTGTGTAGGCTGAGGCGACCGTTATGGTTAGGTTATCGTACTGCACTTTTTTCATTTTCTATTTCTTCTTCCTTTGTCATAAATAATTTACATATTCTTCAATACATTCTAACGAGTTTGCTAAGATATTTATATACTGTATAGGACTTATGTATAAATAATATGCATACTGTATAAATTTATACAAACTGACATCGGGACTGTTGACTGTAATCTTATAGGGATTTGATTTGATGTAAGTAAGTAACAGCGACACAGACAGTACAAGGAAAATTTTCATGATTATCAAGAACATTATCAGATCATTTAGCGTATATTATGTTTCACTGTAAGCGCTTTATCAAGAAAGTGTATAACTACTGTAGAGCAGTTAGTTTTAGGCTTGGCCGACCAATATTGCCCAAATATTGTACAGTAAACCTATTTGTTCCTTTACTTCCTCTTTCATTAGTCAGTGACATATGTTTGTTTCTTTACATTCTGACGAATTTACATTGATAGTTATATGAACAGTTACTGTTGCCTGGATCTCATATTTTATATACATAAAATAAAACAAGTACAGTTAGAGAGACATACCCTATTGTCCTTGTCTCCTTGTTACTAGTAAATGAATTTCCATTGACAGCATAACTATGAGTGCAAATCTATTACCTGGTTATTGGAATATGCATACTGTACTCTCCCCAAAAAGTATTGATAGACAGAAACTCTAATAATAAAATTAAAAAGTAAAAAAGATCTTTGAATATTGCTTTAATTTCCTAAAATGTATTGTCATTGCTTAACCTAATATAGTGTTATTATTTAATAGTTATTAGCACTATATGACTATTATAATTATTATACCTATTACAGTTACAATGAGGTAAACATAATGTTAACAATCATTGATTTATAGCTAAGCTGTTATTCAGAAAGTGACGTATCTCCATGTCTATCGGTGGAAGCTGTGTTTTCCAATAAGTCTTGGGTACTAGTGTTGATCATGGATTTCCAGCAGAAAATACCCACTATTTGACTGCCGTTGACATATTTTCACTACGTCAATATCATTATATTATTCTACTAAAGATGGAGCACAGTGATTCACCATAATTACAACAAATGCCAGAAACAATAGCTGGGAACCTTACAGATACTAGGAAGGCGAGCCTACCAACATAATGCAGGAATCACGATTAGTGAATGGAAATATTCGTCCATTGTGACACATTGTATCGATGAGAAAAGGGCCGATACTTTTTTGGGGAGACTGTACATATGTTTATACTGTAAAATAAAATATATTAAGGAAATCAGAAAGTGAATGGGGTAAATTGAAATATCAGAGTACAGTATTCTCAGTATGGAAAAATGTGATTATTGTGGCAGTTTTGAAAGAATAAAATATTACAAAATATTATTTTCAAACGATAATTAATCAACTGAGAATGAAATAGAGTAAACAATATGGATGAAATGTTTTTTGGCTGCCTTATATTTTCCAAAATAAATTACTGTATACCCTTATTAATTATCTTAGTGAGTTTTTGTTGGTACCATAGGGAAGCCGAGATTCTCACACATTTTTTATCGATATACAGTAATTCATTTAAGAAAATTGTTTTATATTAATAAACGTAAGTTGATTGAAAATGCAATGATAAATTTCACATTATACAATACTCGACAAAACATGCATTAGTTTTTTGTTTTCATATTTTTTATTTGCTCTTTAGATTCCTTACACGATTTTGCATGTAGGGATATTATTGAAATACCACACACGAATATGCACAGTAGAAAAAATTACTGAGGTGAAAAAAATGACAAGAGCTATAAGTATTTTCACGCTAATCTGGCCCATAAGCCACGCCCCTTTTATATGCTACCTACTATTAGCTGATTGGTTCATAGAGAATTCAAACTAAATGTGTCCACAAATGGTCAGCAGACCTGATATTATCTAAAATAATGTTAAACAATTATCCGAACTATCAAAATGCAAATGATTTCAAGGCATTAGCACTTCAGAGAGGATGTTAGAAATTTTTTAATATTTATCATAAATGGTAGACACTAAAAATGTGCTAGTACATGCGCAGTCCAGGAGGAGGTAAGATACTCATGGGAAACAATCAGTTATTTGTAGCTATAGACGAGGGGCGTGGCTTACGGGTCAGGTTAGCGTGGAAAGGATATAGGACTCTAGAGCCACTCATGTGAGTGTTAATCACAAGTCTGGCAGCGTGTGCCGGCAGCACCATCTTTCTCACAATTATTCGTCTGAGTTTTATATTGTTCACGCTCATTTTTTTTATTTTTTACCATAAATTCAATAAAAAGAATTCATTAGATGGAAAAGACAATGACAATAAAATAATTAGGATACTTTTCATATTTTCATAACTTTTGTAGGAGAATTAAGGAAGTCTGTATGCATTCAGCTAAATATGTACCAAGGAATAGGCTGAGAGTGGGGCTAAAAGAGCCCCGTCCAGCACAAAGTAGGGTTAAACCTGGAGGCCTTGTTATAAGTCAGAACAATGTTAAAGTAACAGAATACTGTGTAAAAAATATATGTTAGGTAATCCTGGAGCGAAATATGGCAAATTATGTACAGTATTGTAAAGATACAAATTATGGAAGGTTTACTTATATAACTGCTGTACATGAAATATATTTATGCATTGTTGCATTAGCTATACTTACTCACAGTCCATATCTTTGGTTTAGTCAATAACAGGCTCTTCATCTCTGTCTGGTTAAAACCCATCTCTTCAAGAACAGCAAAAGATGTCCGCTGAAAATTACAAATACGTACCGGAATTAGAGTGTGGCAAATACTGCAGGAAAATGAGATTGTAAGCAGAAATATAAATGCAGATTTCTTAAATGATGTTTGTATAGAAAGACATTTTTTCCTTGCAAACATCTTGAAAACATAAATTAAAATATTTTATTGAACCTATGAGACTGTGTAGCTGCTGTACAATCAAGATTATAACAAATTTGATGATTAATTATTGGATCAAGATGTCCTGTTGGTATGGAGAAAAGAACAAATGTATCAACACCATTTTACTGTCTTATTTGACAAGACAATGCAGGATCTGTGACATGAAATTCGTAAGCTGTCTAAACCATGAGGTTTGTACAGTAAAACCTATACGGGTAATTAGTACTGTACTCCCGTATTTCAAAATCAATCATAATTCATAACGTTTTGCTGTTAAGAAATACAGTGGTCCCTCGGTTAACGAGCACAATTCATTCCAGAAGGTTGCTCGTTAACCGAAACCATTGTTTCAATGGGTTTTTGGGTAATTGGTTCCAGCTCACCGAAAATTACATACAAACTAAAAATAAATGCAGTAAAGTACACTTTCTTTGAGGTGTGCATGCTGATAACCACAAGGAAACAAGAAAACACGAAGTACCCAAGCGTTTCGTGTAATTCACATCTTCAGGAGTGAGTACAGACTAAGGAGTAATACTTGACAAGGCTAATATATACAGTAGAGGAGATCAAGTCCCTAGCCTAGGGGACAGCAGGTGTCCACATTGTTCCGGTCATAAGGCAGTGACCCAACTCTTACTAATCTTCTTAATAAAAAAATTGACCATGCCATCTCTAAGCACAGCAGCTGTCCGTGGTCAGGTCTTAGGGTAAGATGACCCAACCCTCTCACCTGGTTACAAATCTTCTTAATCACGCACGCACGCACACACAGGAATTAAGACAACATGCATCCAGTGAGGGTCTTGTTGTGTGACTACATGGAAGCGAATTAAAAGATCAGCTGTTGAGGAGCTTATCACTTGGCAACACTGGTGTATGTTACCACCCCATCTCTCTAATCACCCACACCTTTCTGCTTTCTCACTCCATATTTTAAAATGTTATGTAATGTAATGTTGAAGGGATACAACTTTGCTCATTTACACTTATCACAATCTTCCTAAAAATATCTTAGGTTTTGTGTTTATTCAAGACATCTTCAGGTCATGAGACACACTAATTACCCACCCAAGAAAGTGTGACCTGACATTCCATCAGAAGGTCAGTAATATGAGACCACTAATCCCTCACCCTACCTTCAGCTGACATTGAGTCAGGTCAAGCCCCTCCACAAATACTTTAACTTTCATCTTTATTGAAGACATTTTAAGAAAATTCTCTCGATTTTCAACCTCGGAAAATTTGTTCCTAAAGCTGGAAATGTTTGGAAAATTCCGGCTTTGGGAATGATTTTCCGAGCAAATTTCAATTCCAGCTATCGGAGATTTCCTGTTACTGGGAAAAGTTTCTGAGTGCCCAAACTACACTTCTTGCACAGACATACACTACTCCACATCCCCAGAATGCTTCTGGGTAGTAGGGAAAGTGTTCCTTGAGTTTCAACTACCAAAGTCTGTAAATGCTCATATATATACATACAGTGGTCCCTCGGTTAACGAACTCAATCCGTTCCAGCAGGTTGTTCGTTAACCGAAAAGTTCGTTAACCGAAACCATTGTTTCAATTGGTTTTTGGGTAATTGGTTCCAGCTCACCGAAAATTTCCTAAATTCAACAAAAATGGTAGAAAAGTTCACTTACTTTGAGGTGTGTATGTAGAAGGCGCCTGGATGATGATGATGATGATGATGATGGGAATTAGAATGGGGGTGGAGGAGAAGGAAGAAGAGAAGGCATTGGGGTGGAAGAGAAGTCACCCCATGGCACCATTTCACCCATAAAATTTTAGTTCTCTTGGTGTATTTCAAGATTATTTTCTTTAAATCAACACTGCACTGCATTATATATTGTCAATATGTAAAATATATTTCAAAATGACCAATTATTTGCTTGGAAACACAGAAAAAAAGCGTTTAGTTGAAGAGAGTCTCAAGCAAGATGTTACCTCCACTGAAAACAGAGAGAGACTAATGCCTGTCTGGTGTGTTAACAGGCTGGATGGCACGCCAGAAACTAGTTTCTTTACCTTCAATTATGCTCAATAATTGTTAAAATGACTAAAAAAAGTTAATATTAAACTTTTAAAATTATTGAATAGTATAAACTTCTTGATATTTACTAAAATAGTAAGGAATTTAAGCCCTAAAACTGATTACTGTATTGGCGAACTGATACTAAAGCTGGTTGCCCGGCCAGTGCAAGCGAAAACATGTTGAGGTCGGTTCGTAAGAAATTCGTTAACCGAATTGAAGATCCTTATGGAAGGCAGTTCGTTAACCGAAATTTCGTTAACCGAGGCGTTCGTTAAACGAGGGGTCACTGTATATAAGAGCGAACAGTATTTATATTAAGATTTATCAGTTCTATAAATGATTTTGGATTATTATCCAGCTGTACAAACGATAGTTCATTATCTATTGTACTATATGTTTGGTATCATTTGCTTCTGTTTGCATTATGTTTGGTACAAAACAAAGAAAAAATTACAAGATTTCATTCAAAAGCAAATTTCATCTTTGACTTTGACCTTTTATGATAAACATTAAAATTTATCTAACAACCTCACTGAAGTGCTGATGCCTTGAAATCATTTGAATTTTAATAGTCCAGTCATTTAACATTATTTTTTTAGAACAACAGGGCTGCTTACCAATTGTGAACATATTTAGTTTGAATAAATGGACAGCTACACAAACATTTTCTATGTACTAATCAACTGTTTTTATAGAAGAGGGGTGTGGCTTACGGGCCAGGTTAGCGTGGAAAGGGTATAGCTTTAGATACAGTGAGGAAGATGGATATCCAGGAAATAACAAAGCATATGAATGAGTGGACAAGTAATTTTTGAGGAAGAATGTGAGGTTGATATACTGTATGTGATACTGGATTAACTGAAGTGACAGGGACAAACAAGACAAATATTTGGGGTCTGGTGGAAGTACAGTACTACTGTACCATAACAGAATGCATATAACAGTAGCAAGGATGAATAATTTGCAAAAAATTAGGGAATTGTGTGTCAATTTGATCTTGTATTACAAAAGGTAAAAAGCTTGAAATGGAAAAGTAATAAAAGAAGGGCCAAAATTTAATGTAACAAGTATATACAGTGTACAGGTACGTGCATTACTGTACTTGTCTATTGATGGGTAATTCTAGGAGCTAGTAAGCCTTACTGATTTCCCTTTCTACAGGTAAATATGAAACATTAAAGTACTGTAAAGAACCAAAAATATACAGAGAATAAGTTCATAATAAAGGAAAGAGAACACTATGAACAGACACTCCATAATTACATATACAGGTACTGATCAGGAAAATCTTATGATGCTGTACTTACCATAATATGATTGAAGTTGAGTGTGATCAGTTGAGGACGCTTGCTCGCCAGTAACCGTACTTCAGCACCAGTCAAACCAAAAGTTCTTTGGAAATATCCTAAACGGTTATCTATTCTAATAGTGCTGAAAAACAAATACGTACAGCATAATTTCTTTAAATGACAAATTTCATGGTTATATTTAGCTTAAGTAATCATGAGTACTGTACAGATATTATTTGAAGGTAAAATCTAAATGTTCCATCCTCTAATTTTCTACCATTTTAAATACAAATACCTGCAGAACACGAATAAATTGAGGCACATCAAAGTTTGTTCTCTAACCAATCTACTTATATTTACATCTTCATCAAAAATTTTAATTATAAATCAGTAACTGATTCTGGAAATCTAGCCATAAAACTAACCTCAAACAGGATATTCCCAACTCATTAGCCAGACTATTCAGCTGTTTAACAAAATACTAACCTGAAAGGTTGGTCGGGTTACTCTACTGACAAGGTCCAACACTTGATACAGTATCGATGAGGTCAGCACCAAAAATAACCAATAGCTGAATTGGTATTATAATTCCTAACACATTTGAAATGATTCATGCAATCCAAATCAAATAAAGACTGCCATTCCCCTTACTATATAATTAAACTGTACAAACAATATGTGGTGCACCCATTCAAGCCAACAAGTGTCATTTATGAAATGAAACCACAAGCGAGTTCTCTTGTGATGGGGACCTACGCAGGGATTAACTCATTTAAACAGAGAAACACTTGGATTGTGACTTGTTATTTGGAAATCTAGTGAAGCAGACTATGGATGAGGAAGACATGAAATGTGTTTAGTTGCTTTAACACCAAGACTTAATTACCTGTCACTCCTCTGGGATAACTGCCACTTTGACCTCCTTTACACTAAATCATTATTGATACCAGCCCTCAATATCAAGGGAACCCATAGAATGAGTCAGCACAAAATCTTAATCTCCTTAGACTTAGACCAACAACAAATTATAAGCAAGGAATTGATCCCGAAATCTCTTTCTCTAAGACAGCCCATAGCTAAGTGGATCTTGAGTGATACCCAAGCTGACAATTGGGTTACTTTTCTTCAGACAACCCCAACCAGTCAGTCAGGGATAAATTATTAACCACAAAGGAATACTAATCACTGCCCTCTAGGGGCAGGTAGTATTATAGTAGCCTTTCATGAACAGCAAGCTCATTACACAAAACGGATATTTTGGCCAGCAATTTATTGCAACTCCACTGTAAAATAAAATTAGCAAGGGTATACTGTACACCACTGAAATGGTGATCTTAATAATTATGAGAATTAAAGTATCATTTACTGTACTGTCTTAAATGAGACTTACCTAAACAGCAGCCAATAGGGATTCTTTGATATGACACGGGTGATTTGATCTGATGTAAATTTCTTTGACTGTAGGTAGTTGACACGTGTGTGAAGATCATCCAACTTTTCTCTGAATATCAGGGGGTTAATGGTCAACCACCAGCCAAGGTTATCAGCCAGAACACCCATATCATGTAAGAACCTGAGATATATATTACCTTTCCATTATACATATACTGGTAAAAATCTTATCTGCATTCTTTGCACAATATTTCTGATACACCTAAAGCCTACATGACTGCCTGCATACAGAAACAATTATAAATATCACTTTTCATTCCACTTTAATAACATGAGTTAATTCCCCTTAAAATGGGGTGGAAAACCCTCATTACACCTTTAAAGGAAATATTGAGGATTGATTTGAAGCCTGTTTACTGGCAGAGCCTACAGCCAGGCAACTCTTATATGTACTGTATTAATGTTTGGGTTGTCATGGCAGTTGACTATACCTTGATGCAACAACAAGGTTAAATATCTAATCTATTCTTAAATAATTCAGTTGCCTGAACCTCTATGTCACACACTTGACTTCTAAACAGAAGTGATCAGATGCAAAGGTTGTCTTATAGGGTTGAAGGTTCTCTAGAGCAGTGTTTGTTCAGTCATCATTCATTGTGCTGAGGCTATAGTCCTCCTACTTATTTTCCAGTCATTTTGTCATTGCTAATAATTGGTTCCAGCTGACTAATCCACTAAACTGATTGAGGAGGGAGGGGTCTCCAAGCCACTTGGCTAAAAGCTCTGCCGGAAAACAGGATTTCAGGGTCAACGCATATAATCAAAAGCAAGATAAGAGGCAGTGCTATGAAAGGTTCAAGGATTATACACACACTTAAGAGATGACCTTGTTTATGTCATCCATTGAGGTTGGCAAATTTGTATTCACATTTTGGTATTCATATAGTTTTTAGGAGTTAGCCAGGAACTTAATAATTTCTCTAATGTAGAGGGAGAAAAAACAGGCAAAAATATTTTCATATGCAAAATGTGGAGAATTTGGACTGCAGTAACTTATTACTGTGTTTTTTTTTGGGGGGGGGGGGATGATCACTCAAATAAAAACTAAATTTTTTTTTTAGTTTTGAATGCAAATTTATAAAAGAACATGAAAACTGTCATTTCTTATGAAATGTTATCACAATCAAGTACCCACTGTAAATATTGCACTAAGTTAACTTTATTGCAATATTTTCTTTATTTTCTCAAAACACCACTTTTCTGTATTTCATGGAGAACTGATCTTTATTTCTGAGGTTCTATTTTCATGACAAACAGCCAAACTACAAAATTTATTTCATCAGTCTGTTAGTCTGTTTTGGAGACAAATTTGTCTTCACGGAAAAAAATATAGAAATGATAGCCTCCGAGTACAGGTGTTATAAATCAACCCAAGGCCACTACAATATCTGAATTAGCTTTTGCAGGATTGAAAACAAATAAATTAAAATTTTAATAAACAACTATTGATAGATCTCATTCAGATTATTGTTTACAGATCTCATTCAGATTATTGTTTACATTATTGTGAATATGAGTACACTTAATCAGGTTACATCTATCAATACTATTATCAATCACACTTTAAAAAACATTTCAAGTACTGTACTTTACCTTGTGTTTCTCTTCATAAACAAGCACACATGTGTGGACACACATGCTTGTTCACATAAACACATGTAGCAACATGTACAGTACAGTATTACCAAGTGAGTATCATAGTACAGAACAGGTACACTGTGTCTCTAGGAGCATATTGTACTCCAAACCCACTGAAATTTGACGTCATGACAGACGCTTCTGTTTTCCCTCGGTAATGTACTTCAGGAACAGAATACCTGTACATGTACAATCAAAGACAAAAGTCGTGTCGCTGTTTTGTCTGAAGATTAAATATAACTCGTGAAACATTATGAGAGCCGCCTACCACAAGGCAGAGCGGACCAGAAGTTTAGCCCTTCGGCATATGTTTTCACCAAATTTCATGACACGAATTCCTACACAGCTTCAGCCAAATTGAGTCAATACACTGTAGTTTCAAACAAGATAATATTAAATTTTCTATCAAATATAAGTACACCTGTACTGTAATGGCAACATTCTTGGGTGACAAACACTAAAGTTGGAAATATTTGTGAAAAAGGACCAAACAAAGAACATTTATGGAAAATTTCAGCACAATTGAGCCATCAGTTTTTGAGAAGTTACAAATATGAAAAGTTTATTGATGGTCAGAAGCCCAGATTACACTGCTCGGCTGACTATAATAATAGTCCATCAAGATCAGCTAAAAAGATACCAAACTGGTAATTACAACATGAAAGATTTCATTTCAAAAATTTCTCTCCAAACAAGTCTACATATACTGTACCCACAAGAATATCTTTATTCTTAAAACCATCTTTAATACCTGTATTTTGGAAATTAAAGAATTCTAGATAGGATGTTTGTTGTAACTAGATATAACATTCCTTCATAAAATTTTGGATGAGCAACACAGTATCACATTGCAAATTCACTGAAAACCTTAAAATTAAAATTATAACTTACATTATATGTCGTTTCATATCTTTTTCAAAATCCAGTCTAAGGATGAATGAGCTGATGCCTCTCCTCTTTTCCCACTTACTGAGATCCACTCTCAGTTTGACCAATTCCTGCAGAGTCTCTGATCTGAAAATGAAGTACAGTAGTATATCACACTTACCTACTGAATTTTTCATATGAAGATAAATTCAGCAAAAAGTAGCTAGCTGTCAGGTTAACTGAGACAAAGTAAGTTTTTACCTTTAAAATTTGAAGATCTATTTAAATGAAAGATGTCACTTTACAATTAGGGATGAGTAATAACTAACAGCTCCCTATAAGACTACATACAGCTATAAACCCTCAAATCCAGGATCCCTTGGATTTAAACCAAACCAGTTTTGAGGATTATCTGTTTGCTGGGTCCTGGGTTAGGTCTAGTCTAATTTCTTCCCTGAGGTAATATTGAGCTTGGTGTACCAGTAAGCTACAGTATGTATTTTTACGTTAATAGCATTTTCCAGTACAGCATTGTGTGTACCACTGAAAATCTATAAGGCAGTAAGTATACTGTACATTGTTTAAACCCTGTGCAACATACCAGCCAATTTGGTTGCAAGCTCAAATTTTGTGCCCCTGACATCATTCGCTTGGTTTCCTCTCACTGGTAAGAGTTCACATCAGCTCTAGAACTATGAGTTACTATGATTGTCAACAATACACTGCCATCTTGGGTTAATAATTTAATATTATTAGCTTGAATGTAAATACAGTATAGTGTCGGAACTGAGGATCATGGTAGGTTTATATCATTGTGTAGTGTTATGGACAAAAACTGCAAGTTATGTTTTTACTGTTAATTTTTAGCCATGACCATACAAAGAATATGACTGAAAGTAATTTTTGAGTTGAGAAACATAAGGTAGGATGAAAGTTTAGACTAAAAACTGACATAAGACTTGAGAGTATGCGTTATGGCTAGCGCCATCGTTGACGCTGCCCTAAGCATCAATGAAGTCTAAACACATAGAATTCTTGAAAATACACACATGGATATACAGTCAGGCCAGTGGTGTGTGATGATATTTGGAAGTGAAATTTATTGGATACAAATGCCCAAAATGTTTAGGAAAGGCATTACATTGAGTATACTATGAATGTACAGTCCCCCTAAAAAAAATCATCGTTGGATTTTCCGTCACTACAATTTGAAACGCTAGACGAAATGCTTTGATATTGATCCCCAGTGCATCTTCATACGTAGGTACGCCTGTTCACCATATCAGTAACTAGATATGCAGGTAGGTTTGGGGAAGGGAGTCTTCCTTGTATGGCATACTACATACAAGTACTTTAATAGCTATAAGAAGAAATCCATTAAGCTATAATAATAAATTAATGTATGTATTGTGCTGGGTAGAAGCAAGGCATATGTAAACAAGCCACTAGCTGATGATTACAATAGCACTGAAATATACATTAAATGAAAATGTTTTGGAACATCATAACCAAAAGAGACATTTCACCATTATGTCATACTAACAGAGTTTCACAATATGCCTACTCCTGTTGTTCACAATATCTGATGTATGAAGTGACTAAGCAAATAGTACTTGATATTAGAGCGAACAGCTACAGCAATATACAATATATCGGTCTATATAGGATCTGCGATGTTACTGATATGTAAATTGCACTAAATTAAGGTTTCAAATCTAGGGGCTTGTAAGACAGATTGTTGTAAGTTTCAATGTGGCACCAGTTGTTTTGTGGCGTCTAACCCATCGTGATACAGTGGGTTCACTCACTCCAGTTCGCCGTACTATCTCAGCATTACATATACCCTCGTTGTGAAGGGCAAAGATAGCATTTCTCACTCTTGCAATGTCTCCCCAATAATTCTTCGCTCCAGTCGATGTAAGATCCCATTGATGACTGGCATGGTGGCATTGGTATCCAATTATGACATCCACTCAGAGTCATGATCTGAAGCCTAGGATGATTCACATCATTCGAAAACGTGTATACTCATTCATGCTCAAAGGTCGTGAATGTAGGACTACCAACCGTTCAAAACAGGTCAAGTAACATTGCTCAGAAAGTTTTAAATCACATTGACCTCATGGCTAACGATACTTGTGTGGAGACTGTACGTGTGTACCCTAGTGCCAAAGGCATATACAGTGAACCCTCTAAGATCTGGACTAAAAGAGGGGACCACCTGTCCAGAAAAGCCAATTGTCTGAATCTTCTGGTGAATGTACTAAATGTATAAAAACAATAAATAACGATATAAAAAAACCCCAAAATACAGTACATATTAATATAACTACTGGGGTTAGTTATACAGACTTTTTCCTGTGTAATAGCCACAATTTTGAGCAACCTATTACTGTACTCACTTTGTACTCAAATGTACAGTGGTCCCTCGATTAACGAATGGTCCAATTAACAAAATTTCGGTTAACGAATTAGATCCCATAAGGAATTTCAGTTCCATTAACGACAGCCTTAGCCTTACGAGAAACACGCTTTGTTGTGCGCATCAGCTGATCGGCTAGTCTGCCAATACAGTAATTGGTTCTATGTTTACATTCGTTTCCAGTTGAGTAAATATCAAGAACGTTGTGCTCTTGAATATTTTTGCATTTTTTTAAATTAAAATTATTGGTCATTCTGAAATTTAGTTAACACATTGATAATATATAGTGCAGTGCAGTGTTGATTTAAATAAAATACTCTTTAATTACAGGTATAGTGAACTTTAAATTTTATTGGTGAAATTACTGTATCAAGCATGGGTCCAAAGAAATCTAGAAGGGCGATTTCAATTCAAGAGAAGCAGGAAGTTATAAAGAAACATGAAGAAGGCATGAGGACCAATGTACTGAGGAAAAAAATATGGCATGTTGGCATCAACTGTGTCTACAATTATTGCGCAGAAAGACAAATTTAAAGCAGTGAAAGTGAGAGATAATTCTATCAGAGTGTTTAAAGGTAGATCACTAATTGCAGAAACAGAGAGGTTACTTATTATTTGGATTAAAGAAAAACAAATGAAAGGAGATTCCATTTATACTGAATTCATTTGTGAAAGAGCCAGGGAAATTTATGAACATTTGAAGGAAAATCAACCTAGTTCTTCTGAAACTTGTGTTTGAAGACTTTAAGGCAAGCAAGGGTCGGTTCGTTAAGCTTAAGAAAAGAGCTGCCATTTATAATGTTGTTAGGCATGGTGAAGCTGCCAGTGCGGATAAAGGAGGAGCTGAAAAATTTGTAGTAGAATTCAAGAAACTGATGGATGAAGAGGATTATCTTCCACAGTAAGTTTTTAATGTGGATGAAATCGGGCTGTTCTGGAAGAAAATGCCCAAAAGGACATTCATCACCAGAGATGAAGTTGCTTTACTGGGGCATAAACCCATGAAGCGCCATCTCACTCTACTGCTTGGTGCCAATGCTTCAGGGGATTTCAGACTGACGCTTATGCTCGAATACCACTCTGAGAACCCCAAGGTGTTCAAGCAACAAAAGGTGGTAAGAGGGCAACTTGGAGTTTATTGGAAGTCAAACCGTAAGGCATGGGTAACGAGACAGCTCTTTAATGAATGGACAGATGAGGTGTTTTGCCCTACTGTGAAGAGTTACCTCGCCACTAATAAACTTCCTTTAAAGGCTCTTCTCCTTCTGGATAATGCCCCTGGTCATGACCTTGAACTTGCCAGAACTTTGGAGGCTCGATTTGACTTTGTCAAAGCTTTGTTTTTGCCTCCCTACACTACATCAATTATGCAGCCAATGGGCCAAAATGTAATCAGCAACTTCAAGAAGCTGCACATGAAGAAAATGTTCAGAAGGTGTCATAATGCAACTATCACTGATCCTGATCTATCACTGGCACAGTTTTGGAAGGCGCAATACAACATCCTGGAGGCTGTAAAATTGATCGTGGCAGAATGGCAAGAAGTTTCCACTCGATGCCTGAATTCTGCATGGAAAGCACCGTGGCCATCAGCAGTCCATGATTTTGAGGGATTTCAGGAAGAAGCAGAGTTGGACAAGGAGATTGTGTCCATTGGTCAGTCAATGGGACTTGAAGTGGAGGAGGAGGATGTTGAAGAGCTTGTGATGTCTCATGAGCAAACACTTTCTCCTGAAGATTTGAAACAACTGGATGAGATGCTAGAAACAGACAGTGGTGAGGAGGAAAAGGAAAGTGATGACCATATGTCTTCTTCAGACTTAAAAAATGTTGCTCACCACTGGGAGATGTTCAGGAAATTGGCTTCAAGGCACCTGATGTGGAAACAACAGAACCTATGTTGTGTGCCATGGAGGACAAAGTGGTTTCCTTCTTCAAGAACCAGCTACTGATCAGGAGACATGCCACACAACTAACACTTGACAGCTTCTTCTCTAAATGGCAGCATGAGAAAGATGATTTCCCTCAGTGTTCCTCTCCAAAAAGGAGAGAGAATTTTCATGTTAGAGAATCTGTCAGAGGTTCCTGACATTATTATGGAAGGTGACTTGCCTTCCAAGAAGCATTAAAATGCTTCTCTTCTTCCTTCTCCTCCACCCACACTTCCTTCTCCTCCTCCTCCACCCCTATTTCCATCTCTTCTCCTTCTCCTCCACCCCCACTTCCTTCTCTTCTCCCTCCTCCTCCTCCTCCACCCCCCACTTCTAATTCCCATCATCATCAACCAGCAACATTCTACATACACACCTCAAAGTAAGTGTACAGTACTGTATTTTGTTTATACTTTGTGTGTGCTTTTTCTGTGAGTTGGAACCAATTACCCAATATCCCATTGAAATAATAGATTCAGTTAACAAAATTTTTGGTTAACAAACAACTGTGTAACCAATTGCGTTCGTTAATCGAGGGACCACTGTACTACACTAAAGGACTAAAATTTTATCTCTTTTGCAAACTATGTGATGTCTATACTCAGATTATTCACTATCTCGCAAGGATTCCATTAATGCAAGTTATATTCTGCTAAGTTTAGTCTGTGACATTTTATAAGATAAAAACTTTAAGCTTAAAACCAGATGAGGTGAGGTTACCTAGTGGTATTTATTTATCTGTCATCACACATTGCTAAAGCTGCCTCCAGAAAGTTGGGAATGCTGTACAGATGCCATAGCTACTTCACTCCTGAGCAGTTGCTTCAAGTAAATAAGGGATTCATTTGTCCAAACCTGGAGTACTGCTCTCATATCTGGGGTGGCTCTTCTTCTGTCCAACTGTTAGATAGGGTGGAATCAAAGGCATTTCGTCTTATTAGCTCTCCTCCTTTAGTTGATAATCTCTCTTCCCTTTCTCTTTGCCGCAATGTTGCTTCACTCTCTCTCTTTTACAGGTACTTTAACAGACAATGTTCGGTGGATTTGGCATCCTGTATACAACCGGCAAGGCCGTGGGCTCATAACACACTGCCCACCATTTCTGTGTGGATGTCGGGCACATTAGAATAACCCGCTATAGAACATACTTCTTTCCTCACACAGGCAAACTGTGGAATGCTCTGCCTTCTTCTGTGTTTCCATACTTATACAGTCTGTCTTACTTTAAAAAGCTGGTTTTCCGGCATCTTCGTGGTGTAGATTAACACAGTATAACCTTTTCCTTTTCTATTTAATTTTTTTTTCTTATTTTTTTGCCCCCCAGGCCCCGTTGTGGGTTGTTCGCCTGTGCCCGGGTGGGCTAATTCCTGTAAAAAAAGAAAGAAAAAAAAAAGATGGAGTTTAAGTTTTTTGCTTATAAAATGTCACTGAATTGACTTGGAAGCATATAACTTATGTTGCTGGAATTCTTGAAAGATAGTGATTAATTTGAATATAAATATACTATAGTTTGCACTAGACATAAAATTTTTAGTTATTATTTAGTACATTTGAGTACAGTACAGGTTTGCCCTTAGGACAATTATTTCTTTTGCTTTTTTCACAATACTGTATGTATTTAGGATGGTGTGTGCATGTAAATGAGTAAAGATAAATGAAGAAAGTTACGTATACTTACCCCAAATATACGTGTTGAAAAACTTGCACTTAATGTACTACACTAAAGGACTAAAATTTCTATCTCTTGTGCAAAATATATGATGTCTATATTCAAATTATTTGCTGTCTTGCAAGGATTCCAGCAGTGCAAGTTATATTCTGCTAACTCTAGTCTGTGACATTTTATACGATAAAAACTTTAAGCATAAAACTACCATCACCCTCTTTTGGGAATGCTTCTTAGCCCAGAATCCCAAAATTTTTTGTCCGAATCTCCCAAAATCCAGATTTACAGGGTCCGAATCTTCGAGGGTTTACTGTATGTATAAATGAGTCTTGCCTCCCCTCCCCTTCCTTATAACTTACATATGCCACTGCCTAGTGCAGATGATAATATTCTTTTTTATCATAAATATGTAGCATTTGAGGTAACACAGTACTGTAGTACTATTAAATGGCAGGTGCAGTATAGTACATTTGGCAACCCAAAACTGTGGATCAGTGGTAATTAGACGTACGTGTGTGTGTGTGTGTGCACGTGCGTGCATGCGTAATACTACTAATAATAATTAATGGTTTATTGAAAGAGCATGGCAGCCAGAGGCTAAAAATATAGTTACATAATTGGGGAATGGGTCTCTTGCTTGACAAATAATATACAAGTAACATATGTGATACAAATATGATATACAATAACAAGGTGGGGAGTAGGTCATACTACAGTGCATTTTAACATAGTGAGAATGCAAAAAGTAAGATTGACTGGGAGTGAATACACTGGTTGATTACGAGTTGTTGATCATCTTTACAATGATTGAGACTGGGCTGTTCTTATTGCGATCAGTATGTGGTAGTATGGGCTGGATGCGGCTGTGGTGTCGAACAGCAATTCGCGAACAAGGGATCTCAGGTGGTAGTAGGAGCCGGTGTCGAAGATGGAGCAGAAGCTTCTCACCAAATTTGCAGATGAGGTCGTGGTGATAGTCAGAGAGTCGAGAGGGTCAGTGCGTTGAGCACTTCTTGATATGTGGAGTAGGAAGGGAAGAGAATAATATATATCGGGGAATCTCCTTCTAAAGATTTCAACACACCGTTGATAAGATTTGCACTCAAAGTACGCCTCCAAAAGAGTGACCCTCTGTGCCCTCTTAAGACTCATTGTCGACTGACTCACACTTACATCCCTCTACCTGCTCATGCTTGAAGTCATGTGACTGGTAAATTACTCAGCAATCTTCTGCGATGTTGCCAGCATTTGCTGCGGGAAACCATGGATGGCTATCGTTAGCCATTAAACTGCTATAAATTGCCAAACTTTGAGTATGGGGACTTTTGAGACACCCTGTAGATGAAAAATTTTCTGTAGAGAAACAAAAAACATTTCTATGATAATTAGTAGGTGGTCAAAATATAATTAATTTTCTCAGATAATTGTCATTATTGGTTGGTATTAAAACCGTTGTCTTTTATCAAAGTCAGATTCATAGGTCATGTACAGTCAGGGACAAAAGTTCGCTCCCCGTGGTGAAACCGAGTCATGGGAATGAATCTCCGAACTGACTTACCCTGACTGTCATCTGGTGTGGGTGTGTTGTTCTATCTCATCTGGGGTCGATACTGCTTCAGTTTGGGAAGGAGCGCACTTTTGACCCTGACTGTACATATGTTTGAATGTGTTGCTTGGTGACAAGAAATGGAGTACAGTACCTCACCCACAAACCACACCAACAATATTCCGTGGGGCAGCCCGGGCACCCTGTGCATACAGTAGGTGATGATATATGTGGACCCCGCATTGTAAGGTTTGTTCAGACCACCCCGGGCAAAACCCGTTTTTCGTTGGAAAGCACTCTTTTCAACCTAGCTCTATACGATGGTAGTTGATAAGATCTCCTTACTACACTGTAAATAAGGTTGAAAGCCCTTTGAAAATAGGGTAGAACATCAATTTGTGGCAGACAGGAAAGTATGGGCTTGAATTTCGCGTCGTCAGGTGCTATCGTCCCGTCAATGAGTGAGTGAGAGGAGTGGACGGCCAATCACAGAGGCCAGCCTGCAGCCTCCTACCCTGTCTCAGCCAATGACAGTGAGCGTCTGCTATTTACATCACGGCCCCTCCAGCAAATGAGGCGAAATCCCTCTCCCTCAGTTCTCTTTTGTTGTGGCGGGATCAACACACTGATATCGATTAAAGTAAAAAACTTAAGCGGGTGGGATTTTTGTTGCTTCAAGTCAACACTGCAACAACCCAGTACTGTACATTACCTCATGACGTGCTACCTACTACCTGCAAGTACAGTCCTTTAGCTTCAAAATGAATCAAAACTGAATGCTGTATCTAAAAAAACAACAAAGTTATGCATGTTTGAATTGAGAAAACTTTAAACGCGGTTTTCTCGGCTTTCAAATTTTGGTGCGAATAACCCATACGATGCGGGGCGCCTCATATAGGAAAGTACCAAAATAACCCAAAATCATAATGTTTATATGAATATGATAATTTTCCTTATTTCCTAACGTTTTGTTGCATTTGTATATTCATTAATGAGTGACACTTACCATAATCTTTATTATATTGTTCAGCAATTTGAAATACTTTTACAATACAATGGTATATATTTTCTTTTTCAGTTCTAATTAATGACTTATTTTATAAACAAATTATTCATGAGATGGAGGAACAATCCACAAATCAGAAAATGTATACGTAGTTTGTCATACAAAGTACACTAATGAAAATATTGCTTCAAAAAATACAGTTTGAAAATACTGTACGGTATATCAATAGCTTTTCAACACCCTTGATTTTACCTACGTTTTCTATATACGTACATGTACAGTACAGGTTGACAATCCTTTATCCGAAATCCTTGGGGCCAGAGGCATTTCGGTTTTCGGAATTTTTCGGTTTTCAGAATGGTTAGGTTTTTTTTTTTTTTTTATGTGTATTAGCCCACCCGGGCATAGATCACTGACCCACATCAGGGCCTGGGGGTCGAAAATATAATAAAAATTATAATAATAATAATAATTCATAGGTCTAGGTCGTGTTTCTCACTTTTGATCTTTTTTTCATTCTTGTATTTCTTTATTATTATTATTATTTTATTATTACAGTATTATTGTTATTATTATTATGAATTTTATTATTATATTTTATTATTATTATTATTATTGTAATCATTATTATTTTATTTTGGTGTATTTTTATTAAAAAATTTATTTACTACGAATAATTATTATTATTACTATTACATTTTCGCCCCCCAGGCCCCGATGTGGGTCAGTGATCTGTGCCTGGGTGGGCTAATAATCCCTGTTAAAAAAAAAAAAAAAAAAAAAAAGCCCACAAAAAAACTTTCGGTTTTTAGAGCTTTTCGGTTTTCGGAATTTCGGATAAAGGGTTGTCAACCTGTACTGCTATTTAATTTACAGTATGTCATAGCCATGGGTTAAGACATTTTGTATAAATAATCTGAAAAAAAAATAACAAACATCAAAACATTTCATACCTGTTCACATATGCTGCTATGTTGAATGAAGGCCTCAATTCTGGAGATAATGCATCAATTTCTGACACATCTTTGGCAGGAAACAGAACATCCCTGCTCTCTTGACTTGTTATCCATCTCATTTCAGAGGTCCAGTCACCATCTTCATCACTTACAGGGATATCGATTTCTTCCATTAATGTCACAGAACCACATACCTCTTCCTGAGGCATTAACTCATGTGTTCTGCTGCTCTTTGTGGTTGTTATTAAATCACTATTCGATTTTTCCTTAAAAGGTATACAGTCACTTGTATAATAAACATTTTGAAAAAATCGATTGTTTTTCTGGAAGATACAATCTTGAAAATAGCTATTTCTACTCAACATTGTACAGAGGCAAATACATGCAAAATCTCTTCTTTTCACATCATGTATTGTCAAAGATTGAAGTGGTGGTCTTCTAATTAATAAAGAGCCAAATACTCCCTGCAGTTTGTTTCTTATTAGATTCATTGTTCAACTGAAAAGAGAATGGTTATTCTTATTAAGGTTAATGTAAGTACTGTACAGCTCAGTGCAATGCATATAAGTTCAAGTTTTAATTCTCCAGAGGACCAAAATAGTTGTTTGTTGATATTCACATCAGATATAATGGGGATCAATCATTTCTGAAACAGGCACTGGATACTAACTAAAATTAACCTGGTAATCCTTGGCAGCTAGATTTGGTTGATTTATGCCATATGCTTAAGAAACAATACTGTACAGCTTGCCCTTAACATTTGCGGGGATTTGGGTGTCAAAATGATCGCGAATAGCCAATTCCGCGAATATCATTTGCTGACGGGGGGGGAGGGATAAATATTATATTACCAACCAACCAAGAAAACCTAACCAAACCTAATCCCCCGTTGGAGGCCTGGAGCGATGCATGAGCAGGGGATCAGACCACCTCCGCCATAAGTAAACAAATCATGGCGACACTTGTGACTGAGCTTAAGTAATAATCTTGAAAATTAATATGTCGGCTAACCTTAATTTCCGGTGGAAATATCATAGAATAAAAATGTCTTAGAATTGTGTAAACATTACGAGATACATATTTTAATACGGAAATAAAGACCGGTGTGATACTATAAATTAACCGTAATTTCTTTTGATAACCGTCTCCTCCATACCGTCTAAAGTATTGCCTAGCCCATAAAGTTCAGCCCTATATCGTGTGTGATTTTTTACATAAACTTTGGCAAATTTAGCTTGGTATTTTTGCATTAGTGCACACAACTTTCCTAACCCAAATCTATTATCATATTCGAATAAGACGTCTAATTTTAAGATAATTTTCTTCTATTACATTACCGTTGCAAACATGCAATAACCAATATAGCGCATGCCAGATATTTCTCTATTTTCTTCCATTAATCTTCCGCCATTATCGCCTACCTGACCTCCCACTCTGCGCGTTTCCTTCATAAATCGTCACACGCATGCGTTCCATACACGTCACGCGGCCAATCAAAAGCGATTTTTTTCCACCAATTAAAATGATTTGTGGTTTAATCCGTGGTATTTTTGGCCCAATCAGATTTGATTTTTATTTTGGGGTCTCTCATATTTCGAAATTCAAATTCATTTCCGACCATGAAAGTCTACAATGAGTGTCACTTCGATTATATGGAGCTGATTGCGCATTTGTTGAAAAAAAGAAAGAAGAGAACAAGTTATATTATTTTTTAGATCTCATGGTGTTTTCCCGACCTCAGTAAAGTGTCCTAAGTGTAAGAATGAATGTAAATATCATCAAGACCATCATATGTGGCATTGTGGTAACTAGTTCCAGAACCAGGCCAATAAGGTAAGATATAAATGATTCCATCATATGGTGAGTTAGGTTAGGTTAGGTTTACATGCCTGTTTTTCTAGTGTTTTTTTTTTTTTGTATTTTGTATTCGACTGGCCATAATTTTGATCGTAAAACGCCCCACCCAAAAACCCCGATAACTTAAACACAGGAAATTTCCGACAGAAATCAAGGTCAAAACCAATCAAAACACACAAAAATACACTAGAAAAACATAGTTTAGACTTTCTAACAGAGTTGTGTGCACTATTGTAAATTTACCTTCAGCTTTTAGAAATCCTAATCCATTTATCAATGACTTGTCATGCACTAAGTCGCAATTTATTATCAAAATATTATTGGCCTATACAAAGTAATTTAGATGATAACAAAACAAAGCACTAGTAATAATCTAAGTATAATACATACCAATACCGTATTAAGAACAAGTGTTGCTTTATTTACCTGTCCGGATAATGACGGATCTATATCATGTTAGTTGACAGAACACTCTTTATTCCTTCACTACAAAGGTCCGTCATAAAATTAGCAAGTGTGGTTTGCTGCACCCATTATGTAGATCTTATATTTGTGATAAAGTTAATGGCTAAACCTCAACAGGCTTAACATTATGAAATCGAGACTCGGTATTATTATCGTTTAGGTTATGTAGAGAATTTTAGGATTCTAAGCTTTGGACAGGGTTGCCAACTCGGATTTTCATATGTCGCTAGGCTGGTACCTAAAAGTAGTTAAATGTCGCTAAATCTTCCATGAAAAGTCGCTAGCTATTATTCCCCCCCTTCAGTAATTTGATGCAAATTATATTTTCATAATGCCGACTATAATGGACGGAGTATAAATAAAATGCATTATGTAAAAATATTATCTGTATTTTTTTTAAAGTTTAATGTGCACACTTACCTATTATTCAATAGTAATTGCATCCCAGTCCTCTCCGTAGTCGTCGGCAGTGTGAACAACTGTAGAGCTGGAAGCATGTGAAGTGCTTGGTTCAGGTTCTCTTGTAACTGTATGCCTCCACAGTCCCTATCTTTCTTAAAATATCACTAGGAAGTTCATAACTTGCACAACAGGTGTTCTGTCTTTTTAACCCATACTTTATTGTAAGAATTGCCTTTAATGTCGATAGTTTCATTTTGTTGCGCAATTTTGATTTCACAAAGTTCATATTACTAAATGTGCGCTCTACATCTGCGTTTGAATGCAGAAGAGATAAGGCAGCGAGTGCAATTTCAGCCAGATCATGGTAAGGGTTTTCACCTGTCGCATCTCTGTAATTTGCCACTTCTGACCACAATTTTAGGGTGTTAGATGTTTCTGTCCAGATTGTGTGATGCAGTTGTAGTGGAATTCTCCCCTACAAACGCAGTTTGTCGCTGCCTAGCCGACCCCACCAATTCCCCAGTGTATGCCTCGTGGTCTAGGTCAACCAGCGCCGCCATACACCACGGAGCGGGGGTCAACTGCTAAGCCACGCCTACTCCCGCTATTTAAGACCTGACCTCGTGGTGATCTGCCTCTCCTTCTACCTACAGCCGCAGCCAGCAACACCTCCTCCTCCTCTGCCGCTGCCTGGCGGCCCTCCCTCCTCCGCCTGCCTGGCGGTCCTCTCTCCCGCTGGCGAGCATGGCGACCCGCAAGCTGTCCTCCTGTGAGCATCCTCACCAACCAGCTCTCTCTACATCACGCTTGTAACCATGCTGCCTTCCCAGCACCAAGCTGCATTGTACATCCAATACAACATGTATATAGAGAGCACATTGTGAGTTTCCTTTCTCCATCCCATCCTGAGTGTGAACCAAACAATCTCATACCCCACACAGTTTTTTCCACTGGAAATCAATCTTGGTAAGGGTGCTGGAATCTTCTGTAAATAAGTGTGCCAAACCAAGTATATCTGATTTAATAGGCTTCAAGCAATCATCGGCACTCAGAAAAGAAATAGACTGCAGCACACGAATGTTGTCAGGTAAGCGTTGACGAAGTTGTTTTATGAGTTCAACCCGTTCAAATGTATTGTCCCTGTAACCCCGTTGCTATATATTATGGCTCGAAATTAGGAAAACCGAGTTTTCATGGACAGTCCAAAAGTATCCAGAAAGTCGCTAGATTTCTGTGGATATCTCTAGATTTGCGACAAGTCGCAAATCGCTATAAAATGTCGCTAGAAAAAAACAAAAAGCTCTAGATCTAGCTACAAAGTCGCTAAGTTGGCAACTCTGTCTTTCACTACAAAGGTCCGTCATAAAATTAGCAAGTGTGGTTTGCTGCACCCATTATGTAGATCTTATATTTGTGATAAAGTTAATGGCTAAACCTCAACAGGCTTAACATTATGAAATCGAGACTCGGTATTATTATCGTTTAGGTTATGTAGAGAATTTTAGGATTTTAAGTTTTGGATTCAGCAGTTTAGACAATTCTATATTGAGTCTTATATGTGGAGAAAGAGAAAACTAAAACTGATTCATTCTATAACGTTTCCGTTCGAAATATATATTTTTCGATTATTTTAACCAATTAAATTATCAAAAATTTTAGTTGTTCAACGTGGACAGGACTTTGAAGTCGGGGAAAATGTTGGATAAATTACTTAAAACGAACACTAAACAAACCTTTAAAAACCTTACCTAATGTTTCCTAACTTGTAAAAATTTTAAGAATCAAGTTTTAGGTTATGGAAGGTAGTGACTACTCTCCCTACAAATGATCTGCCTACCTCACGCCATTGTAGTGAACTGCTCTCCCATCTTCGCCCAGCCAATCAGCGGCGCCGCTCATCTCACACCTCTGAACCTGATCCGGCAGAATCGTATAAATACCCCCAAAACAAGTTACAGAATACTTCCCAGTAACATGCCAACTGAGGAGGTTAAACTACTTCAAACACAATACAACAAAGGCCACCCCAGTCTCCACCTACCCCTTCGCCTGAACTTGCCTAGCTTATACTACAGACGGGCAAGGGGGGGACCTAGTTGAGGTGTATAAGCATCTCAGGGGGCACTACTCAGTTGAGTGTCCTTACTTGGAGCTGGCGGACGCTCGCCCCACAAGGGGTCACAGCTCAAGATTGAAGAAGCCGCAAGTCCAGAAAACCGTGAGGGCACCTCAGAAGCTGCCGTATTTGCTAAGTACACTGTATTTTGCAGAGTGTGGTTAGAAATGTCATTGTTTACACGGAGCTCGCCTCCTCCGGCTGATAAGCGGAGCTGGTGCCACCTCCAGAGTGGGGGATAGAGCAGGTGGAGGGTGCGCTGCTGCCCCCTGGCCCTGTGTCGGCACACTTGCTTCCACTACCCTCCCCCTGAATATAACCCATATACACCCGTCCCCGTTACTCCTTGACTCCTCCCTCTTCTGCTTCAAGTTCTGCAGGAGCTTCTTGTGCTCTCCCCTCTGCATTACCGTGCGATCTGGGTGAATGAATACTCTCCGAGATGCCTCGCTCCGTGCTAAGTTTTTTGCCTGCCGAATAACCTCCCATTTCTCCTCCTCGCTCACTAGTGTGATCATGAGGGGGCGAGGCTTATCCCCCTGCTTTTGTCCCAGCCTCCTCACATCCTGTGGGGTTGATGGCATCTTCAGAACCTCTGTACAAATATTCTTAAACTGCATCTTATCGTGTGTTACCTTACTCTCGGTTCCCTCCGCCTGGTTCTCGGGGACTCCCAAAACTATTACATTGTTCCTGCGCTGGAAACATCCCCGTTGTTCCTCCTCTCCCCTAACAGTAGGTCCGTTAATTGTCATTTCTTCGACACACTTCTTCAGAGTCCCTAGCTACTGTAGAACCTGTTCTGATCCTGCATTACTCTCCGCCACCTCCCGTGGCCCTGCTAATGCCTCAGCATAACTCCTCTTAGCAACCACCTCCATTCTATCGGCTACTTCCTCAGTCTTAGCAAGGATCTCTTTCCCAACTTGCTCTAGTTTGGCAACCAGCAAGGCTTCAGCTTCATCTATTTTCGTCCCTCGGGAACTCGTTCCCTTATGGCTTGCAATCGCCTCTTTCACCTTGACTATGCAGTCAGAGCAATACCAGCAACAGCCTTCATGCTTTACGGCAGTTAGCATCTTCCTAAACGTTGCATTGGTCAGGCCTGTATCATCCATAACCGTCATCCCCCAGCAGTAGTCACATATCATCATATCCCTCATGGTGGTTGTTGTTGTTGTTGTGTGGGGGAGGGGGGGGGGTGCAGACTGTGTATAGATTTACACCTATTTAAAAAAATAAATAAAAAAAGCAGTACTTAGCTGCCCTCTGCTGGTTTTAACTTCCTTTTTTTGTCTTTAGAGCTATCTTCTGTTTCTCTTCTCTTTTTTATTTTTTATTTTTTTTTTCAGTTCACTTCGGCGGCTTGTCAGTATTTATGTGCTCTCTCTATGTACACTGCATTTTGCTATGAATAACGGATTTTATACATCTACTCAGTCCTTTAGAAACACAGAAAATAAAATATAATAAAACTGTCTTTGGGGCGCTAATAGAATACCTTTAAGGATAGCCAAGCTTGTTGATTTATTTATTTATTTTTATTCTAACTAGTATTTCCTTATACTTTCTTTTCCCGTTCTCACCGACGACTAAATCTCTTTGTGCTATCACTGTGTACACTGTATCTCCCTGTGAATGTGAATGGTGTAACGTAGGCACAGTTTCAGTCCACGAGAAAGCACACAAACAAAATAAAATTTAAAGTCTCTGTAGCACCTATAACACGACTTGGTTTCAGCTGGCAGTGGTGCCTATTGAGCTGGGTAGGTAGATCAGGACAATAGATGGCGTTGCTCGTGGTGCTGGGTAGGTAGATCAGGACAATAGATGGCGTGGTTCGTAGTGCTGGGTAGGTAGATCATGACAATTGGTGGCGTGGTTCGTAACACAGTGCTCCAGCGCTCATTGGAGTGAGAGAAGACCAGATAACTAAGCTTGAAGTCATCCAAAAAAATGCTCTCAGGACCATGCTCGGAGCACCCATGTGGACCAGAATTTGCAATTTGCAAATGGAAACCGAACTACCACCCCTGGCAGTACGAGTCAAGCAGGTGACAGCCTGTCTCCTCGCCAAAATCTGTAGATCAGATAAGCCCACAGCTGCCAAAGCGCGAATCAGTGCCTTCCTCCACCTCGACTACAGAGCTCAAGGGGCCACCTGGTCGCACGAGGCAAGCTAGGTCATCAGGCACCTGCAAGCAGAAGCACTCGTAAAGAACAACCAAGACATACGAGACAAGGATTATGTAGTTCCACCACCATGGAGCCCTCCACCAGCCACATTCAAAATCACCGAACTAGGTGATAGCAAAGCCAACCTCCAGAAGGAGGACCTCAAAAGAAGAACTCAGGAAGCCATAGCCACCGAGACACCGGCTGATGCAGCATTATACTTCACAGACGGCTCGGTGGACCCAAAACATCAAAGATCCGGAGAGGCCTTTTACACCCAAGGTCAAACCCTCCTGTGGAGACTGTAAATGCCTTAGTTAAGGACGTTCAGGTTACGGGCAAGTCGAAGGGAATGATTGAAACCCGTCTTTTGACGCATTCAATATTTATTGATGTGGTCAAAACCTGCAGAGGAGAAGGCGTTCATAATATTACAAGGTGATCCATCTGATAAATAATTAGTTAGTCTCACACAATTTTATCTTAATTACAATTTATTAAACATACTGACATAACACAAAGTTCATAACTCTATTAATCTTAGCTTCGCTTCATTCTGCAGTGTCTTATTACTCCAGGTTAGGCAGAAACGAGTAGGCGTAATTAGTCAACAATATTTCAGTACCGAGGGGTATGTCATCACTTAGGCTGTATTTACAAGTGCGGGTCAATGCAGATCAGTATGGTGTTCCAAGAGAAAACAGTATTGCGTAAATCGTCCCAGCACAAATTCTTGGACAGGAGAAGGCTGGTCTTCACAGTATCACTAGAGAGGGCGATCTGTCTCATGGAGGGGCGGGCAGCCACCGCCACCAGTCTAAGACAGTCCACTCAGCAGAACCAGGACTTGTCTGTAAACACTTCTACATCTGGCGAGGTCACAGGTCAAAAGATTTAATGACATCACACGCCAGCACTGTAGCTGAAGCCAGTGGCGATAACAGAGACCTTCCAAAGACTGCTCCACCCTACAAACAGAGTTGGTAGCAATCTCAAAGGCCTTACAACACGCTGCAACAGAACACAAAAAGTCCATCATAATTCACACGGACTCGAACACGGCCATGCAGGCGCTGCAACACAGTCATCCAAGAGACAACGTCCACATCATAACCTCGATCCTCGCACAGCTACAGGCCTTCCAAAGACAAAATCGCCCAGTCGTCTTACACTGGATTCCCAGTCATGTAGGGATCGGGCGAAATGACATGGCAGACGAAGCAGCCAAGGCAGCCACACGTTCTAGAAGCGTACACTTTCAAGTTCCAGCAAGCGATAACAGATCAAGAACCACCTCAGAAAGACTACCAATCTCCACATCCAAAAGAGCTTCCTTGACGCATTCAACGCTGGTTCCCAATCAGCCAAATGGTATCTGGTGTCTGCAAAAGGGGAACCACCATTCGCGGACAAGAAAACACCAAGACAAACCCAAGTTAGCCTTCATCGACTACGACTAGGCTACAAGTGCACTGGCAAACGATCGCAAATGTCGTCAGGGAATGCACCTACAGTGAAGACTGTATGAGTTTCGGGCTCAAGATATCGATCCCAAAAACGAAAGCCATGATGATTGGACACAATGAGCCGGTGACACAACTGCAAAGACAAGGTATTGCCCTACAATGGGTCAATGTATACACATACCTGGGCATCTGGATTGACAAAGGCCTCAAATTTGACAGTGAGATAAACTATCTAAGAGACCGAATGGGTAAGAGAGTCAACATGATGAGAGCCATGACAGGACCCAAGGTGGGTGCGGGACATGTAGTCCTAAGAACGCTATACTGTATATACACGCCATTCGATCATTAACAGACTATGCGACAGCGGCTCTTAACACACTGTCTGGGTGGCAGTGGGAGAAATTGGAGGTTGCCCAGAATAACGCTATCAGAGTCATTGTCAAGGCACCTATGTGGGCAAAAATTGAAAACTTACACATGGAGACAGGTCTCACATCTCTCCAAACCGGGAACGACTAACAGCGTGCTTTGCAACAAAACTGATTACCAGGGCTCGGGAAAGTGACATCAAGAATGGACGAGCACTGAACCTTAACAGAGATGTCTTTAACATGAAAACATGGCTATTGTGCGCAGCTAAAGCTGTAAATCGACTGGAATCGAAAGACACAATCCTCAGCAAAGGACCTGATACAATGAGTCCAGACTACAGCACCCCAGCACCGTGGGAGTCCCCGCCAGCAGTCATCAACATTCTACAAACTGGGACAAGAAAGGCTGACTGTAACCCACATGAGCTCCGACAGGTAGCAGAGAGAAACATGAAGGCTGTAACACCACACAATAGTACAGTGTATTACACAGACGGTTCCGTAGAGCCCACCAGTACGAAGGCAGGAGCAGCCTTCACTATAGAAGGAGGTAACACGTCACTTTGGAGAACCTCAGATGGATGCTCTACTTTGCAAGTTGAGCTAGCTGCCATACTTGGAGCCCTAAGACATGCTCCCATAAACAATCAACAAGGCATTGTAATACACACTGACTCACACTTCGCCCAGTGGCGAAGAGGATAAAGGTAAAAAAACAATCATTGTATCCCAAGACAAGACTATCAAGAAAATGGAGTGATCCTACACAGGCCACTGGCCCCCTTCCATCGGCATGACCACCTCTAGTTTGGGACCGGTGGTGTTTTGATGATAATTCACTTATAAAATTTAGGATAAGAAAAAATATTAAGAATAGCGGACTGTGGTTAATATGAGGCCCTACTGTAGAAATATGGCGTGAAAAAAAAAGGTGAAGCAATTGTGTCAGATGTTCTTTGACTTACTGAATAAACGTCTTTGCTGTCTCTGCTACCCTGAATTCAGTCTTTTCACTGCACATTCTCTCGCTCAACTGATCTTTATGATATGTTTTCCTAACCCTGTTGTTCAGTCCAACTTCCCGGGGTCACCACACTGGTAAAATATAAAGTAGGGTTGAATTAAAAAAAAAACATTAGTTCGAAGATTTTAATATAAAACACATAAAATCCTTTTTACAAATAGAGTGGTTTTGGTGCTTTGAATATATTAATACGATTTATATAAATAAAGTTCCAGAAATAAATATTCATGAAGCTTTGAAAGTGAGATAAGACTTTGGGTTACATTTCTTCAGATAAATTTTTACATTGTGTCATCATCCCACAGAAATATATTACAGAAACAGTCTTGTGTGTTCACAGGCATTTTGGCTTGTTACAAAATATTATTTCTCTAGTTATTGACCTTATATTAAAAAGGCACGATGTCAGAGGAGATCGCCTAATGATTCCTGAAAAGTGCAACAACGACAACAACAACCCTGGAGGAAGTTTAGATAGACAATAGAGAGCATTTAAGAAGAGGTAAGACTGTCAAGAGTGGTTAAGAGAATGTGGGGTTGAAACACTGGCGGCAGTCCTTGTCCTGGAAACAACACTTCAGGTTACCAGGACAGTCGAAGTCATTGAAACATTCGGGGCGACAGAAAGGATCGCCGAAGAAAAATCTCTGGTTTTGTGCTGCCTGGCGAGTCACGCGGGTAGCGACCCCTTTATTGCTGGTTGTTTGGTGCTCGCCTTTATTGTGATCATCTTCAGTTGCCTCGGCTGATCGAGTGACCCGATCACGTGTCCTTGACCAGCGATTCAGGAGTCTCTCACGTCGATCATCACGATCTTTTCTGTTGGCTGATCGAGTGACCCGATCCCGTGTCCTTGACCAGCGATTAAGGAGTCTCTCACGTCGATCATCACGATCTTTTCTGTTGGCTGATCGAGTGATCCGATCACGTGTCCTTGACCAGCGATTAAGGAGTCTCTCACGTCGATCATCACGATCTTTTCTGTTGGCTGATCGAGTGACCCGATCCCGTGTCCTTGACCAGCGATTAAGGAGTCTCTCACGTCGATCATCACGATCTTTTCTGTTGGCTGATCGAGTGATCCGATCCCGTGTCCTTGACCAGCGATTAAGGAGTCTCTCACGTCGATCATCACGATCTTTTCTGTTGGCTGATCGAGTGATCCGATCACGTGTCCTTGACCAGCGATTAAGGAGTCTCTCACGTCGATCATCACGATCTTTTCTGTTGGCTGATCGAGTGACCCGATCCCGTGTCCTTGACCAGCGATTAAGGAGTCTCTCACGTCGATCATCACGATCTTTTCTGTTGGCTGATCGAGTGATTCGATCTTGTTTGAGTGGGTTCACAATTTCCTCATGCTCATCATTTTCCTCCTCTATTGAAGTAGATCTACGACTCCTGTTGCGTTCGTCTTGGCGTTCTTTTCGGCTGAGGCGACGTTCTTTTTCATCCTGTTGTTCCAGGACGCGCGCCTCCTTCTCAGGGGAGATAGTGGTGGATACAACGGAGGCTTGAGAGGACCCGCCACCTCCTGAGCGGAAGTGAAAACCCGGGCGAGGACACAACCCTGGCTTGGACGTCAGATGGAACGCTGAGGGTGAGAATGACAGTGTTAAGAAATATAAAATTATACACTGGGGCATATACGCGTGGCAAGACATGTAAAAAACTGGGTATACATACAGCTCACGTCTTTGCTAGACTCAGTTGAAGAATGGCGTGGCTCTTAAATGAAAAAGATAGGACCTAACCTATTGGTATCATAAACATAACCATTATTTATTCAGTTGTTTTTTATCTATACAGTTGCCTTTTTTTGTTCATGGAAATCCATTCGAAATAAAGATGGCTCACGACACTATTACACATTTAAGTGGCCGTTAAAAGGTTACAATGAACACGTCTGCAACATTGATGAATTTATATGAACTGAGGCAGAATATCTGGAGCAGAATTTGGCGATGATAACTTTCTGCAGTGTTTTGACTAAAAACTTTCATCCTATATATGTACATTTTTTTTTTATTTGCTATGGTATTTAAACGAGCAGAAGAAAATAACATTTGCATATCCAAGTGACAGATGCCATCAGGGTTTTTAAGAGAAACTTTCTAGTATCGTGAGGTAAGGTGACCGAGGTGCAAGAAAGGGCAAGCGTCAGTGACCTTGTAATCTGGAGATGAGCGAGAAGGGTGTGTTGCTCATGTGTGAGTGCATGTACAGCTAACTTTTGAACACACATCATTGTTTATCTCTGAGTGACTTTATATAAGCGGAGGTAACTCGCAGCACCTGTTAAGACTGTCCTCCCATACCTGAAGCTGGCGGAAGCTCGCCCCACAAGGGGTCACAGCTCAAGGTTGAAGAAGCAGCAAGTCCAGAAAACTGTGAGGGGTAACTTTTTCTGATTGAGAGTTGTGAACTCGTGGAACAATCTGCCAGAGAGTGTTGTGATGGCACCGAGTGTGAGCTCTTACAAGATCAGACTGGATAAGCACTGGAGCAGGTTCAGATACATTCAAAAAGCCAGTGCATGCCCAGTACTTGCCAACAGTGCGTAACAACCGTGACCGATCGCCCAAGCGGCTAACGAGCCGATCAGTGGTGAAGAGGGTAAAGGTAAAGGTAAGGGAGGACAGCATCTACCGCCTATCCTCGTTTCTTCACATGTCTTATACCCAGAGGATGTAGGTTTTAATTTCATAAAAAAGGTTGGCCTCCTCCAGAAAATACAAGGATTTAATTTAGTTATAAATATATGTCTGTTTTAGCGATACTGTATTTTAATATTATAATATTTTTCAAATACGAAACCATGTTTTTTAAGCAAACACGTCACATAAACTGTTTCGACGTCAGTGTACCATTTACATATCAGTCAATCAAGCTTTAGTGTTAATATGTGCTAATACTGAATTGTTTGACTGCATAAATGTTATGATAAAAACTATAATTTTTTGTTTACATATATTACTATATTTATACAAACATGTTCTCACCTCTTTTTACACATGATTGCTTGAGTGTACCGTGTTGTGTTTGTGTCATGAAATTTTAATATTTGTTAATATTGGATTCACTATTCTCGTAACAATGTCGGAATTAATCCGTAATTCCATTCATTTACAAAGATTGTTCATGTTCATTCAAGTGTAGTTTATATCCTTGTCGGAGGGAATATACAAATTTACATAGTAAAATATGTATTGATGAAAGTATACTTATACATTTGTGTTTAAAAGTGCGCAGATTTTTCAATATTAATATATAAATAGTTGTATTCAGTAAGGTATATTGTAAACTTACAGTTTTATCTTATACGGGTGTAATACTGACCTTCCTGAGGATTGCTGCAGACGAAGGAGCAGCTGGCGGGGCAACACTTCTGCAGGGTGGGACAGTGGAAGTCATTCTGGCACTCATTCACACAGGCCCCTCCTCCGAACTTGTTGAAGCTAGTGTGTACCCCAGCTGTCAGAGGGCACGTCCCAATCTTACCTCTTAGCGGTCCGGGTACTGCAGGAGGACGCAAGTGTCCTGGAAAGTGCCCTGGAATGTGTCCTGGGAATTGTCCTGTGAACTGCCCGGGAAAATGTCCAGGAATGTGACCTGGGGCATTTCCTGGGAAGTGTCCGGGGATATGCCCTGGGAACTGTCCAGGAATATGACCTTGGAGCTGTCCTGGGAATGTCTGAATTCCTGGACCAAGAGGACTTATTGGTCTGTTGTTAGGTAGGGTGAAGGAACAGCAAGTCCTGCTGGACTCACAACACCTGTGAGCCAAAGCCTGGTCGCTGACGGAACACCGCTGGCAGTGCTGGTCAGTGAACAGCCCCAGGAAGTCCACAGGAACAAATCTAAAGCAGTTAAAAGTTTATGCATAGTTAATAGTGGCTTTAGTTTAAGTCTAGCCGATCTGTATCTAGAAACAGGAACTCAATACTCGAGTCAAAACAATGACAGTCGTATGAGACTGAGTGATATAGAACTGTAAAGCGACATCGGAATAAATTAACATGGACTGGAATTAAGTGAAGGGACACAAGTGTGACGCTACCAGAAAGTACTAATAATATTTGAGTATGTCATTTACTAGGACTGTGTGTCTTAGATACTGATGGCCTCTGCAGTATAATAAAAACAAAATAGAGAACAGGATGTTTTGCTGTACTGTATAGTCACGGAAAAGAAACATGGCGGAATAAATCAAGGAAGACACTGTTTTAAAGATGATTGGCACTACAGAAAGAACACACCTGTGATAAAAAATTAGAATTTCCTATCCGATGAATCTAGCGAAAATAATTTTCGTGGAATCTTTACCTGACAGTATTAGTGCAGAGTCTGTGTACACAACACCTAGGTCTGAGTAAATAAGTATTCCTGGAGAGGCTGAACAATTATGACATACTCTATAGTATTTTCTCTTGCTCTTATCCCCATTAAAAATGTTTCTCACTCTTTTGTGTTCATCTGAGAAGAGCTATAAGAATGTTTTTGGCGTACCTAGCATTTTATATACATCTTAATGCCTTGCCTAATGTTATTGCTAACGTATTAAGTTAATTAATAGGATTTGTAATGTTGTGTGTTAACACAAAAGCCCATCAGTCCAGTAAACATATTTGTTTGCATTCGAGTGCACACGCCTGTGGGCGGAGGGAGACCAATGAGGTCGGAGGGAGTGCTTGGCTCAGCATCCACTGTTCTACTTTGAGAAACCTACCAGGTGTTGTGGGTAATGCTTATGGTCGCTATGCAACCTCCACTAAGGATCTCTGGACATCTCACACTTCAGTACCCTGGATGTGAAAAGATGGTGCTATTTGAGGTGCTTACTGTCGCTACTTTAAGCGACCTAATGATACCGGATGCAGAAATAGTCTTGTTATGCATGCCTGGGAAGGATCTCGTCTACCTAACAAGAGTAGAGTGTGAGATGGGTACCTCCTGTGTGTACCTTGGTGCTAAAAATGAGCTACAGTACCTGTATGTATTATGTGTATTATTGAATGTTCCTTATTCAGGTGATGTTGAGGATGTTGGTGTTATTGAAAATTACAGGTGATATTGGGGAAGGATTGACCTAGGTAAAGAGGTCAATGAGTTTGTATGGAGAGAGAAGACTTTAATTAATTATTTGGAGAAGGTCGGGTATTTTTGTGTGGTGGTAACCTAACTAATTGCTTGGGGAAGGTCAACTATTTTTGTATTGTGACTGAATGCATTATTTTTTATTAGGAAATAACGTAGTTAAATTATTGGTTGGTGTTTCACCCTTCCTTCCACTCTTAACTTGATTAATGAAAAACACGAACTCACAGTGCCTGGATTGCTCTGCCAGCTACCTAAAGAACACTACACATACTGTCCTGTGGTCTGGTGGCAGCGACCTAAATTTAAGAAGTAAGTTTAGTAAAACCCAAGGATTAAGTGATCACATTAAAGGGCACTATAAATGGTCCGCCCCACAAGTGATCACAGCTCAAGGTTGAAGAAACTATAAGTCCAGAAAATTGTGAGGGCAAATTTTTCGGAGTGAGAATTGTGAACTCTTGGAACAATCTGCCAGAGTGTGCTGTGACGGCACCGAGTGTGAGCTCATTCAAGGCCAGACTTGACCAACACTGGAGAAGGTTCCGATTATATTCAGGAGCCGGTGCATGACCCGTATCTGCTAACATTTCGTATCAGAGACGTGACCGACCGCCCAAATGGCTAACGAGCCGATCAGTAGCGAAGAGGATAAAAGTAAACTTTGCAGCTGGTGTAACGAAATTGCCCATGAGGAATAATAACCCGGCACCCTCACCTACCACCTCCATGTTGGATTCATGTCCTTGATTTGAAGATTATTCTTTCCATAGTCAACCATAACTCTTTGCCATCATCCCATCAATTAGTTTTGTTTCACTGAAATCTGTCCATCCACTCTCGCAGTATTATGGTTCATACACACAAACAGGAATTCTCGATCACTGATAGATAGCTTAATATAGAATGTCAGGCTCACAAAAACGAACATGACGTGAAAATAACAGAGTTAAAAAGTGTTATCAGTACCTGGTGTTTCCTGGCTTGGCGGGTGTTGAGACCTGGGTAACAGTGGGGTGGTGGAGAGGGGCCTTGGTGGTGGTGGCGGTGGAGGAACTGAGGGTGGGCGTGTCGCTCGCCTTATCCGGAAACCTGAACTGAGCGGCAGCCAGGCCCGCCCAGCACAACACTAACACTAGTACTGGTGCCATCCTGCAACACAAAAACACACACATACACACACCGTAATGACACCAAAACAAACACCAGTCATAGTAGTTGTAAGTTTATCTATGAAGTCTCAAAGTTATGATGATGATGGATAGTCACATATGGATAATACTACATCACAAAGGCATTCATCTTTAATAATTTAACAACCAATTATCTTAACTAATATCTTCCCCGCCAATATTTCCTCTCTCTCTCTCTCTCTCTCTCTCTCTCTCTCTCTCTCTCTCTCTCTCTCTCTCTCCTTTCTTCTTCATATTTTGTAATTTCTCTCTACGGTTCTTTGTCCCCTCGTTTTGATTTATCTCAAGGGGAATGTTCTTCTTCCGTCTAAATTGTCTTTTCTTCCCCTTTTCTGACTTTCTTTCTCGCTCTACCTGAGTCTGTTTCTCTATTTCGTATTTCCCTCACCTCAGTTTCTTCTCCTATGTCAGCTTCTTTTCTCCTTCCGTATCTTCCCTCAACCTTTGTCCTTCTTTTCTATCTCCTCTTTACTCTTCCTATTTCTCCCCTTTCTTTACTTCTTTACCTTTCTCCTCGATTCTTCTCTTTCCCTTCATTTCTCCTCCCCCCTCATTTCCTCTCAAAACAGAATAAATAACCTAACCTAACCAAAAAAAAGATAATATGTGTGTGTGTGTGTGTGTGTGTATGTGTGTGTGTTGAGTTCTGGGTGGTGCCACATAACGAGTGTTTGAAGTGACTGATCTGACATTACAATGACCAATTTCTAGTCACTTTGACCTTTTATAATAGTAAGGTGATCAATAGGCTACAGAGGTACAGTGTGACTCTCAACACCTTCCCTTCTGTTCAAAAAATGTACGGGTATTACACCTCGGAGTTTATATAGATATTATAAACTCCGTAAGACCCGTACTTATAGAATTTATCAGTACTTTAAGGAAACACTGCCCATATTTGATAGTTTACTGTACTAATAATCTCAATACGGATGGAAATTATCTCACGTCAGTAATGAAGTTTTGTCTACTGTGACAGGAATGTCTTATGTGGTCACTGAAAAGGGAAGAGTCAGAACTTATGATCAGTATAACGCAAACAGATATGTTTATGTGTTTGTATCTCTTGTTGAGAAATATGATAAAATTTTGGATAATCGGTGAATTCATCAAGATATTCTGCTTTAGGGTTACTCGAATCTTTGCCTATTTTTATGAATAATATCAAGGAATGTGCCAGGTATTCTACGCCACTGCTAAAACACTTGAAAGACTGACGCATGATCTTTGTTAGGTCTCGCAATTCATTTATTTTGTCACCATCATAAGTATTTCATGAGGTACACGGTCCTTGATATGATGAAAATGTTATCGGCATTTTGTGCATGTGTGGTGCCACGTGCCCACCCTCGCCACACTGCTTCTATCATATACTGTGCATCATACCGCCTGCCTCGCTCACCCACCAGCGACATTCTTATCAATCACCTCAGAGTTAGGTACCCATGTGCCAAGGTAGTACTATGTGGGGATTATAACGAAATTGACACTACTTATGTCGAGGACCAGCTGCTACTATCACAAGCTGTGAACTTCCCTACACACGGTCAAAATACCCTTGTCTTAACTGACTTAGTGGACCAGTACCAACCACCTTAACCAATGTCTCCTGTCGAGTGTAGCACACACCTATCAGTGTTCTGTCTCCAGCTGCCACTACCAGCCAAGTGCAGAGATCCTACATCAAGATCTATAGGCTGACTACTGACTCTGCAGTGCTTCTATTCGGGTAGTGGATAGTTCACCAACCCTGGACTGAAGTACTTAGTGTGGATGACGTGGACACCAAATGGATAAATTATACCAACACCACCACGGAAGCTCACCACCACTTCTTTCCCGGAAGTCCGTCAGATCACACCCAGCTGACTTGCCCTGGATCACACCTCGGATCAAAAGACTTGTGCAACAGAGAGACAGTGCCTTTTATCTCAATGACCACAACCGCCACAGGTCCTTTCGCAACCATGTCATCCGTGATATACACTCTGCAAAGAAGTCTCACTACCCAACCAAGCTGCAACACCATCATCAGTCAGTGGTATGGTAAGCTTAAAGAACTCTGTGGACTAAACAATAAGACACACCCTCTCCCCTTCCTTAGCCATCTCACTAATGGTGATGCAGCTGAGCAACCAAACAACCATTTCGCAACTATATGCCAGACACTCCCCGGGCTTGACACAACCACTCTCCCTGCTTTCTTACAAGCCCCCTTTCCCACTGACTTAGTGGAAGCATTTGAAGTAGCAAAACGTCTAGACAAACTGAAGTTAAAGCGCTTCACCACCCTCATTGACTTTCCAATGAAACTCTTCAGGGAGTTCTCCCCGGAACTAGCTAAACCCCTCTGCTCCATCATCAATGCTTCCCTCAGCCAAGCAAGATGCTCAGCTGACTGGAAGACCTCATATGCGTCACCAGTGCCCAAGTCAATCAGCCCACAATCCTTAAATGAGCTAGGACCCATTGCCATCACCCCCAATACCCAGCTTAATCTGCGAAGGTTTCGTTTTTGACTGGACTTATGCTGACATTGCAGGCGCCATAGATTCTCAACAATATGACAATATGGAAACTTCCATCGACTACATATACACCGCCATCTGGAAAAACGTAAGATGTCTGTGGCTGTCACCTTCATTGACTTCACCAAAGCATTTGACCTAGTCAACCACAACCACAATCACAACCAACAAAGCTATCGACCTCGGGTTTCGAAGAAGTCTTATACCATGGCTTACAGACTTCCTTAGTGACCGACGCCAAGCCATACGCTTCCGAGGGGCTGTCTCCACTTTTCAGTCACTCACTTGTGGCGTCCCCCAAAACACCAAGATGGGACCGCTCTGCTTTCTTATGCTTATCATTGATGCCCTGAGAGAAACCTCTGCTCGCTGGAAATCTGTCGACGACTCCACCATTGGGATCAGTGTGAACAACTCGGCTTCCGGCTACACCGCCCTCCAGAATATATTGAAGTCTCCAAAATTGGGCAACGAACAACCGTGTCACCTACCTCCATTACTTTGGGCCCCAACACTCTAAATTGGAAAAAAACACGGCAGTACAATTGTCAAATCCTTCAGTTTTCGTCTTCACCTCCTCCGCCAACTCAAGTCCCTCGGAGTTCCGGTGCCCGAGCTCCTCAGTACTTACTCAACATTTATACTTCCTAAGCTGACCTATGCCTCCCCTGCCTGGTCTTCGTCCCTAAATTCCACACAATGTAAACACCTAGAAAAAGTGCAAAAGAGGGCATGTAAGATTATTCTCTTCCCTTCCTACTCCACATATCAAGAAGCGCTCAACACATTGACCCTCTCGGCTCTCTCTGACCATCACCACGACCTCATCTGCAAATTTGGTGAGAAGCTTCTGCACCATCCTCGACACCGGCTTCTACTACCACCCGAGATCCCTCGTCTGAGAATTGCTGTTCGACACCACAGCTGAATCCAGCCCATACGAGCACGTGCCGATCGCTCTTAGAACAGTCCAGTCCCAACCATTAAAAAATTATCAGCTACTCGTAAACAACCAGTGAATTCACTCCCAGCCAATCTTACCTTTTTGCACTTTTACTATGTTGAAATGTTCTGTAGTATGACCTACTCTCCACCCTGTTATTATATATCATATTTGTGTCACTTACGTTATTTGTATATTATTTGTCAATCAAGTGACCCATTCCCCGTTTATGTAACTGTATACTTACAGCCTTCTTGCTGCCATGTCATTTCAATAAACCGTTAATTATTATTATTATTATTATTATTATTATTATTATTATTATTATTGTTATTATTAATATTATTATTATTATTATTATTATTATTATTATTATGAATGGAACACAGACTTTTAACCTCGGCCTGGAAATGAACACATGTTAGATAAATTGTGCAGTTCGCGCCAATTTACACCAACATCTTCTCTAGTCTCACACTGTTTACACAACTAAAACACAAATCCTACACATTCTTTACGGGTCACTTTCTTAACTCACACCAATCTCTCCCTCCTTCCATTCTCACTAACACAATTCTCCTCTCTGCGAGCACAACACGAAACAGTACAATGCTTCCTTGGTCGTACCTGTCGATGGCTATGCTGAGATCCAGTAGCGTCGGGCCTTATATACCATCACATTTCTTCACTCTCCATTCTCCTCCTCCCACTGCTCCTTCAAGGCTACCCCCGCCTCCCTCCTCCACCTCGGAACCACACTACGTTGGGGTGTGACCTCGTCTTATGGATGTACTATTTCCCTGTGATGACCCTTCTATCGTGACCAACGACTTCGTGGCTCCCCTTTTTCCTACACACCTGATGAACCTCCTACATACGTGCTGACCCTACACACCTGTTTTCCCTACACACACGTAAACACACACATTTAAATCCCCCCCCGACACACACACACACCTGCTGGTTTCACACACCGGCTGATACTATACACCTGCTAATTTGGCCCACATAAACTAGCCCTACACACCTGTTAATATCACAAACTTGCTGGTTCTAGACATCTGTTAGTCCTCCACACACTTTCACACATCTGTTAAATCTTGCTATTCCCACTCTGATGTTAGTACCACACACACACACATATATATATATATATATATATATATATATATATATATATATATATATATATATATATATATATATATATATATATATATATATATATATATACCCTGTAATATTGTACACACAGTCTCACACACATCCTATATTCACACATATACCACATATACATATCACATACACACCTGCTAGTTTCACACGCACATGCTATGCACACACCTGCTAGCTCCACTCTACGGTTAGCACCATACTCCTGCTAGTTCTACACACACACACACACACACACACACCGCTAGTTTTACACACACCTGCTCAGACACCTGCAACTCTTTCACACTTACACACCTGTTAGTCTATAACCTC